GGGGTAGGTAAAACCTCACCAAGGGTACACGAATTCAGAGGAAATACACGGCCTGGGGAGAACGCCAGCGGGTAAAGGCACAGGCAAGTGCAAACGCCTGCGTTTCTAAAGGAACTGCCAGGCTGCCACGGGGTTTTCACTCAAAGGTTATAAAAGGGTTGAAAAGCCTAAGAGGAGAGGGAGTGAAAACAAGGGGTTCCTTGGTCTGAGCTCCCTAACCCTCACCTGAAGATAAGCAGGTGCTATGTGTTCCTTGCAGTTTAGGGAACACAGTAAATGAGGTCCGGAGGCTGCTTGTGAAATACGAAGGGCAAGAGGCTGGGCAAGGGCTGCAGCTAGGGAAACAACCAGACTGATGAAAGAGGTCAAGGAGCTCTAGGACCAGAGGCTGGAGAGCCAGCATGTGGCTAAAGGGCCACCTGGAGAGGTAGGGTGTGGATGCCACTGAAAATGCAGTGAGGACTCCTAAAGGCCATCTGGAGGTGGAGATGCATTTGTCCTTATCAAGAGAAGGGCAGATGAAGGGCTCCAACATATAGGGTTGGGGTCTCCAAAGAATCTATGGAATGAAAGTGTCCATCCGACAAAGAAATAGTTTTAAATATAGCCTAGAGTCAGTCAAGCAACACTTCTCCTGAGCCTTTACTTCCCCGACCACATCCCAGAGAAGGCAGCCTAGTGAGCAAGGGAGGAAGAATGGGGGAAACACACACATAGGCCACACACACGTAGGAGAGGCTTTGAGGCTGCAGCAGATGAAACCAGGAGGAAAGGAGAAGCTGCATTTCAGTTGAGAGTTTTTAAAATTACACAGGATGATATTGCTGATCAATTGCTGTACTGGGATGACCAGAGAGATTGTTATCTGATTAACTAGAAGTCATAGGGATGGCCGTGCATCTCACTCACAGGGTAGGGAAGAGCCAGCTCTCCTAGAACAGGACAGAATGGACTAGAGGGTTGGGAATGGTGGGTCGGCAAAGAGAACAAAGCTGGTTTCTGATTTTAGTCCGTTAATCATGTAATGTTCGATGTAATGGTCAAGGTGACAGTGATGATGGACTATCCAAGAAGGGCCAAAGCATGGTACCCTCCATCCTCCGAGGGTGTTCAAGGCACAGCCCCAAACTCCACCTGGAGCAAGCGTGGCAGGGAGTATCATCAGGAACAAGACGTGCAAGGCTGCCCCTTCCGGGTGCATGTGCTAAGTAGTTAAAAGTCTGTGGAACCTCTATGCCAACCTTTGGAGCATTTGTTTGCCAGGCTTGTGGGCTAGGACCTCAGCAGGGCTGAGCAGGAACCAGAGTATGGCTCAAGTGAAAGAAAGAGAGAGGCACAGACTTCAGGAAGAACCCATTTCTTTAGCCTGACTCCTGGAATTCATCTTTCTACACCTCTTCTCACTGCCAAAGAGTGTAGTTAAGCCACAGAGGAGCCAAGAAGGCTGTCCCACTGGGCCTGGCCTTAGTCTAGGCCAGAGGTACAAAATGGGCTCCTGGATGCCCATTCAGCATGGCCCGCCAGGAGCCTGAGTGAAGATCTGAGCCCAAGTCCCAGCTGGTATTGAGGGTGATTCGCTTGCAGGGTCCCCTGGCTCGCTCTACCAGACCTGGCCAGCTGGCTGCCTTGCCTCTGCAGGTAGCTGGTTGAGGATTCCTGGATTCAGGATGCCGGCCATCTCTAATAAAACCTGTTGACAAGTTCCTGGAAGGGGTATAGGTATGTATACGCACTCACTCATACACTCAATATCTTGAGTTTAGTAAGAGAGAACTAATTCTGTGGGCTGATTCCTTGTAAATCAAATAACCACTCCCATAACCTAGAAAAATATATATTTTCATAAATCAGATTTGCTTATTGTAGGTCACACCTGTATACAAATTTCATTCTCAACGCAACTGTCAAAGCCTTACAAAGTCTACCCTAAATCCAAAATGGTAAGGCTAGGATATGCTTACCTCATTTCTAGATTCAGTGGTCTTTTCTGCCTCCCGCTCAGGTTTATCTGCTATTTTAGTTTCATCTTCATTCTTCCGCTGTAGTGGTTTTTCCTTCTGGGTTGACGCTCTTTGCTCGTTTTCCTCATGCTGGGAACTGTGACCCATAGCTCTTAATATTTCATTCTCCTATAAAAGTACCCCAAAATGTGCTAAGTAGAAATCCATATTTCATCAAATGTCAAACAATCTTTACAACTGCATTGTCCTTCTCAATTATGAAAATCCACAAGTTAAAAGCTAAGACTGGCATTTCATTATTTCAGTATCAAAGAAACATTTAATTCTGAAACAAAGCTCAGTTTTGAGTCTTGTCCTTAAGAAGTCACTGTGAGACAGGCTGTTCTAATCTGCATAATTTAAATCATATGCAATTATAAAGCCCTCGAGTCTAAAATATTTGCAAATTTGATTAGATTTGGAAAGCAATGTTGACAGCAGGCTGTTTCTATTTAGCTTTCTGCTGAAAATAGATCAAACAGCTAAGTCAGAAGTAAACTCTGATCAAATATACATAGAAAAACCTGGAAAGTTTTATTACAAGTATTCATTGTGGTTCCTTCTGAAAGGTGGGATGGGTGGGGGCAGGGGGTGGTTAAAAAGAGATCCTTATACATTTCTGTTTGGATATTCTGCAACAATCAGGAAAAAGTTAAATATATTTTTATATTGAGAAAATAAAGATAACAAAGCTTACACTAATACCTCCGTAGATATTTTCAACAATGCTTATTTACTGAGTGCTTCCACCTCTTAATTTATTTTAACTGAGGAGATATAATTAAAAGGCTAGAGAATTCTTCCAGTTAACCATTCAAATAGTTACCACTTAGCATATATTGCATAAATTGATACTTTCAATTATTATACTAAAAGCTCTCTGTATAATTCTTTCCCCTCTAACGTAATACCAAGGCTTCTCAAACCATTCTAATGTCTCTCCTCCAATAACATAGCACACTGAACTAACTCAAAGGACAAGACAGCACCACTGTCCCCTCCACTCTAATCTGCAGAAATGTTCATCTTAAAAACAGAAAAAACAAACACATGAAGGGCCAAAGAAATGGAAATCCACAGATGCCAGCATAAGGAGAGAAATGCACGCACGAGCAGAAAAAGGAAGCTGACGTGCTGGTGGCCCACTTCGTTTTTACCTGTTTCTCTGTTCACTGTACCTGACATACTCGGCCTCCCTCCCTCTCCACACTGGATGTGGCCTCGTTCCTACCTCTGTCCGCTCGTGCACCTGATAAGGAGCGCGTGTGCTTATGAACATTGCTCCTGCTCCTCTATGCTCTTTTCTGCCCCAAGAATCGTTTCCTGTCTATTGGATAATTGCCACCAGCCTATTAACATACAATCACACCTTCCATCTTTACAATCCCCTCCCTTGACCTAACATTACTCTTTGGATTCCATCCCATTTTTCTGCTCTCTGTCAGAGAGAAATCCTCCAGCATCACCTGGACTTAGTGCATTCTCTCTGGAATCTGTTCCAGTGAGGATTCAGTCTCCGCTGCTCCACTGAAACAGCTCATCAGGGCCTCCCCAGTCAGGCCAGTTCTCCATCCTCACCTTACTTGGCCCACCAGCAATATTCACTTAGTTACTCCTTCCTGGAAACATGTTCTTCACCTGGCATCCAAGTACCTTCTCTATTTATTCTCCTACCTCACTGACTACTTCTCGCTGGTGCTTCATCTTTATTATCTCTAAACCTGGCATTGACCCATGCTCAGCCTCAGGCGCACCAAGCATTGTCCCACCTTCCAGGAGTGAGAAGGCTCTTGCTTTCCCCCCTCTACCCCGTGGTTTCCCGTTGGGTCCTATTTAAATATTACCATCTCACTTTTCTTTCTAAGCACTCTCTATATAAAAAAAGAGGCTTCTCCCATCAATATCTATCTCCCTGATCTTGCTTATTTTTTTTTTCTGTAGCATTTAGTACCAGCTGATATATTACCATATTTATTTATTTGGTGACTACCTGTCTTACTAGAATGCTAGCCCTGAGAGCAGGGACTCTGCCTGGTTCCTGCTGTATGACACATAGTAGACCCTTAACAGATGTTTGTTGACTAGATAAACTCCTAGACACAATATCCTAAGACTTTGGTAGGGACGGGCTTCTGATGAGTGAGATGCCTCTGTCTTGCTCTTTCCTGCAATGACAATGCTGATTCCTGTCTAAATCTGAGGAAGGAGGGAAAAGAGTATCACTCTTTTAACCTCCATGTTTTGCCAAGGCAAAGTTTCTTTTGTTAAGCCTGAAGATAATCAAATTCAAAATTCTGTGTTCCTGAGACAGTTGGCTTTGTTTACGAATTTGCTGGTGGTGGGCATAGGAGCTAATATCTAAATCACATGAGCTACTCAGGAACCACGAAGCAAGGTACCCTTAGTTAATGTGTAATATGTGAGCTGCTACAACGCACATGGACACACACATGAACATGAAATCATGAGAACATGTTATCTGTAAAGTTACAAATATAGGACTAGATCAAGCCCATAAGGAAACCAATTAAATAAACTTTAGTCTGGGGGAACTTTTTTCTGGAGAAAACCTTTTAAGAGTGTATGAGAGTTTGGTAAGATGGGCTGCCTAAAATCTTGGGAAGAGAATAACTGAAGGTAGAGAAATTCTGTATGACCACAACTCATACTGTAAGAATGAAAAATTAGGTTAAAAAGCCTATCATATAATAATGGATCATAACTCATTAAATGAGTTAAAAGAATCAATGAATCCATTTGATATAAACAAATGAGTAAATGAGGGAAAAAAGAAATCTCTTCCATACCAGAGAATGCAACTAATAAATACAGAAGGATGATGGAGTTAGAAAATCATCATCAATGGATGCTAAAACCAGAGAGTAAAAATTTGATGAGAAACAAGATATTTAGTCTCAAAGTATCACTCCACAGATTGCTTTTTAATTACAAAGAGAAAAATAACACTATACGAGAAAGCTGGCAAACACCATCTAAATCAAGTGGTCAAATCTATCACAATATGGAGATAAATCAACATTATGTGCCTGGTGTGATAGGGAGAAGGACATGTTACCACTTCTGTGGCATTTCTGCCCAAAATTCATAATCTCAATGTCATTATGAAGAAACATCAGACAAATAAAAATTGGGGCCATTTTACAAACTAATGGATACTCTTATAAAATTTAAAAGTCAAGATATACCAAGACTGAAGAAAATTTTCCAGATTAAAGGTGACTAAGAGACTTGACAACTAAATACAATGGGTGATCCTGGGTTCGATGCTGACCCAGAAGAAAAAGTATTACATATGATATTATAGTCAGGCAATAGATAAAATTTGAATATGGACAGATTAGATAATAGTCTTAGAGTCATTGTTAAATTTCCTGATTTTGATAATTATAGAGAAAATCATTATCCTTAGGAAATATACACTTAAGTATTTGGGCACCAAGGGACACAGTGGCTTCAATTCACTCTTAAATGTTTCAGAACAAAAAGTATGTACACACAGAGATAGACACAATTAGAAAAATAGATAAGCCAAATGGGGCAAAATGTTAAGAACAGGTAAATTTGAATAAAAGACATACTATTACTGGAAGTTTTTTTTTTTTAATCAAAAAATTATCCTTAAAATCCCTGCATAGCAAAATCAATTTGGCTGAGGCAACAGCAAAGGGTTGCCCAAGAACTATTCTTCCATTAAAATTTCTGTTCATCTATATTCCTTCCCACAAAGTATATAGACACATCAACTGCTTTAATAATTATTTTCACCTTTCTTTCCAACATTTTAGTTACTTTTCAAGAACAGTGGACTTGAGAAAAGCAGCTCTGAAAACCAAGCAGAAGTTACCCTTTCTGTAAGAGACATCTAGCTACCTGCATAAGGAAAATCTCCACTTGCAAGGGCATCTCCCTGGCTGTACCGGGAAGCGGGGGACGACGCCTCATGTTCACTGTGCCTTTCCTGGTAACATCCCAAACCCGACACCCGCTCCCGCCACCCCATCTTCTTTTGTCTTCAGTTGAGGATGGTATTTAAGGTGAAGACTTCAGCCTTTTCTGAGGGAGCTGCAAACCAGGACCTTTGTACACAGGAGGTATACATGTAATTAATTTTTTTCTCCTGTTAATCTGTCTTATATCAATTTAATTACCAGGCCATAGAACCTAGAAGGTTAGAAATAAAATTGTTTCCTTGCCAACAGTGACCTGTAATTTAACTCAATTCTGACATTATCTACCTGGAGGTAGTATCAGATCCCACAGGTTAAGGACTCAGTCTCACAAGACTGCCTCATCACCCCCTTCGGATGCCAACTGCAAGCCCAGGTTGTCACCTGTGTGCTTCTGACTGACTATAAATCGGAGGTCACAACCCCTCATTGGGTTCAACTGACTTACTAGAGCGGCTCGCAGATCTAAGGGAAACATGTTACTTACTAGATCACCGTTTTATTATAAAAGGACAAAACTCAGGAGCAACCAGGAGCACAGAGCAAGGTATCTGGGAAAGGGCACGGGGCGTCCGTGGCCTCTCCAGGTGTCCACTCTTCCAGCACCTCCACGTGTTCACCAACCCGGAAGCTCTCCAACCCTGTCCTTTTTGATAGCTAATCAATCAGGCCTATCGATACACAAGCATGACCGATTAAATCATTGACCTTTGTGACTGAACTCAATCTCCACTTGTCCAGGTTTGGAGCTGAAAGTTCCAACCTTCTAATCACACAGTCAGTTCCCGTGGCAACCAGCCCCTATCTTTAGGGGGTTTCCAAAAGTCACCTCATTAACATAAATCAGGTGTGTTTGAAAGGAGGGCTTGTCATGAATAACAAAACACTTGTACTTTTGTGGCTCTGGAGCTATTACATAACTGAGGACAAAAGACTAAATATTATATTTAAAATAAAAATTAAAAAAAATAAAAATAAAAAAGATGCTCCCATTGCTCTTCGCATTTAGGAAACCCCAAGGGCTTGGAGAGCTCTGGGCCTGAAAGGGGGATTGAGACCAAATACATATTTAAATCACATCCTCACACCTGACATTATCTTGCTCATGAATTTAATGGGATGCTTTGAATGTTTCACCAGTTAAGAATGACATGTGGACTT